AAAAATATAATAGTATGTTTTTTTAAGCCTTTTTTTTTTTTTTTTTTTGGAAAATGGAAGAGGAAGAAATGGAATAGCAAATGTATGATAAATGGACTGGACTTCTTGGCTGAAATCATTGTCAATTATTGGATGCACCACGTGGAGCAACAGCTGGTGCACCACCTGAAATAGAAAAATAAGACAAAAAATATTTTTTTCAGTATTAAGTAATACCATGACAATAATTTAATTAACCTGTAATATAATACTAATTTAATTAATCTAAAATGCGATACCACTTTAATTAATATAAAACGTAACACTAATTTAATTAATCTAAAATAAAATGATAACTTAATTAATCCAAAATATGATATTAATTTCATTAATCTTAAAACGATGAAGTAATTCTAGTTTTTTAACACAAATTCTATACTTTTCTTTTGCTTTTATCTACCCTCCAATCATTGAATAATTAAAACCTTTGATAAAATCATTGATATGCTTACCTGTTCCCGTTGGATTTGTTTGTTCGGTTGTCGAATTTGGCTAAAAATTCAAAATTCAAAAATAAAAAAATTCTTTGGAAAAAATTCCTTTCTTTTAAAAAAAAAAAAAAATCCTTTGAAAATGTATAATAATTTTTAATGATATATGCAAAATGTCATTTTATATTTTTCAATTTTATTTTGCTACATCATCATGATGAATGTTTTTTTTGATTTATTTGAGATCTGAATAATATTACAAAACAGATTTTATTGAAATCTAAATTTGCAAAATGTAATCATTGAAATAAAAAAATCAATCAATAATTCCTATTTTTTAACATTGTATACTTTTTTGTAATTAAAATGTATTGCATTTTATTAATAAACACCAATGAAAATTTAGTTTAAATAGCATATTATTAAGGAATTAAAAGAACATAAATACAATTAAATGAACAAATGTGCGATTCTTTTTCGTCTTTTTTTTTAATGTTTTTCATATTTTGCAAAATAAAATGGTTGTAAATTAATATATAATAATGAAATTGTAAAATCATTCCAAATAATAAAGTATTTGTATTCCTATGATTTATTCATAACTCTTCAATAATTAAGCAATAATGGGATGAAATTAATTAGATTATTCGAAATAATATAATATATCTTAAATGAGTAAGGAAATAAAATCAACTCGACAATTTGAAATGATATGATATGTTTTAAATCAACGGCACAATGAAATCAATTCAATAATTGAAAATTATATAATGTATTTTAAATCAACACTGAAACCAATGAAATTGATTCGGTAATTTGAATTAATATTGTATACTTTAAATTGATAATTACTTCTAAAAAAAAATTACAAAATTTATCATAATTTCATGAAAGCATTTTAAGTAAGCAAAAAAAATACTCATCACATGAAAAATTCAATAATTTAAATGAAGAATGAAATTCAATAATTTGAAGAATGAAAAAAATGAAGAATGAAATTTAAATGAAGAATAATAATTGATGATTTTAAATGAATAACAATTAATGATTTTTGAAAGAAAAAAAAGAGGACAATGAATGGGACAAACACTGGTTGTAGCTCCTTGTGAACCAGAATTTGGAATAATTTTGCCAATTGCTACATTCGCATATTCTTTCGTTGTTTCTGCTGAAAGAAAAAAAACAAATTTTTTTTAAAATTTTTTTTTTAAAAAAAAAGAAAAAAAAGTCCAATATCATAATCTTTTTCCAATAAACTTACCAAAAAGTTTGATAATTTTTCAATTTTTTCTTTTTGATTTTAAATTTTAAAAAGGAAAATTCTCGAAGCATTTTTATAAAAAAGAAAAATATTCAATTTTTTCTCTTTTTCTTTCTTTCCTTTTTTTCCACAATATGATTGTGACATTTATTTGATACTGTATTCAAGATTTATTTGCTTTTATAGCATGACGTATTCAATCGTTAAGTAAAATATTTATTGCAAAAAATAAGCCAAGCTAAGCCAAAAAAAAAAAGAAAAAAAAAGAAAACGTAAATTATTGAATAGATATATTACTAGTATAACAAAAGAAAAAAAGCCAAGAAAAATTATTATTTTTATTACGTGTACTTGTTTGGATAGTAAATAAGCTAATATTCCTTTGATAATATTAAGCATTGATTTGTTAAGACTATATACTAAATGGTAATTGTTATGAGTTAAAATGATATCAATTTAATTTAATTAAACTTAAAATACGATCGAAATAATTGCACGTAGTGAATTATTGCTAATTTTCACATTAATTTTTAAACTTTTCTTAAAATTTTGCTATTTATTTTGAAATTGTAAGTCGAAGGTATAGGTGGTATCTAAATTGTTCATATTTCCAGCATTTTTCTTGAATAACAATCTTTTAGCATTAACAATACAATATTGTAATCACTGAAAGATTACAATATGTTACAGTAATTACCATAAAAAGGAGTATTATCCATTATAACTCATGTTACTGTAATTATGATAAAAATTATCATCCAATCGTATATTTTTCATGCTAAAAAAGAAAAAAAGACGATAATACTAACCAGCTGTTTGGACCACTTCTTTGGTTTTATTGAATAACGATTCAAGGGCATTTTTCTGTAAATTAAATTAAATTAAGCTATGTTAAAATAAACTAATTATCATTTAGTAAATAGTAACTTGTTTAAATTTGGTTAATTTACATAATTTCATTCACTAAACAAAATGATTTTTTTTTTTGTTTATTTCGTTTCTCTAATTTTAAAATTATTTTAATCATTTTATTTGGACAATTACTGAAACACTACTAAAAAAGAAATTAACATTATCGAAGTAATGGCAAAGGCTAATAAATATCAGAATGAGTCGAAAAGTTGAAGAATAAATGAATGTTTCAAAATAAGCTGATAATTGGTAATTTGAAAAAAGAAACTGAATAATTTTTTTTTTCACAAAAAAATAATTTCAAAATTTTTTGAACAATTCAAATAAATTAAAAAAAATCGAAAACGAAAGAAGGAAGTAAATTATCAAACATTTTAAAGATATCAGCTAGAAATAATAATTATTTAAAAAGTAAAAAGAAAGAAGATCTTTTTAGAGGCAAAGTGATATAAGTAAGATTACATTTTTGAATTTATTACATTCTTTTTTCCTTTTTCATCTCCTATCTTAGACATTTGTTCCGTTTGAATAAATTTTCCTAGGTTTTAATTTAAAAAGTAAAGCAATAAAAAATTTGAGATAAATTTTAGGAATGTGCAATAATTTGTTTTTTAATTATCTAACAGCAATGATAAATCCCATTTAAAAAAAAAAAAAAAAATAGTCACAAAATTATTATTCAAATATGTTGCAAATATTTAAATAATAAATGGCACCATAATACAATTTGCGTTTGCATTCATGCTAAAATGTTTATTTAATTGTGAAAAGTATTTAATTCAATTTTTGATTCAAGCGACAAGTTGACATTTCGGAAGTAAACAAATTTTTTCAAATTATCAACTTCCTCATTCATTTTTCATACTATTTTTTCCACTCTCAAAAACTATGCTTCAAAAAATTTTTTAAATTATGAAAGTTGTAAAAAAAAGAATTTGCCATTTTCGCTCATTTTTTCTCTTCCCATTTTTGAATGTTGAAAAAATAAAATCAAATTAAACGAACAAAACAAATAAATTTTAAAATTCTTAATTACTATTTCATATTTGCGCTCATTCACAAATAAATTGTTATGGCAGAAAACGTTTCTTTTTCTTTCTTTTCCAACATAACTTTTCATCGATTCACTAACGCCTACCTATTTATTGAATTAAATTAACTGAATAACGAGAAAATACTGTAATCTAGCAATTAGATGTAAATATTTATGCATAAATTCATAAATATGATTTGTATAAATTATGCTAACAATGAAATACTAAAATTAAAAAGAAATGGAAATTTTTTCTTTAAAAAAAATCGAATCCGAAATTATTTTGTATATATTAATTAAATAATATCACACAATTATAAATTTATTTATTTGGAAATATTTTAGATATAAAGTACCAATATATGTGTATGATAAGTTTTAACAAATAAATTATTATCATTTAAAATTCAACCGTTGTATTTGTTTTTTCCCACTTTCTATGAATGAATAAAACTGATTCAAAAAAAAAAAGTCTTCTTGATTAATATTTTAGATA